TGCGCGGGGGCGGGGTGAGGGGCGGAGGGCGCCCCCACTCCGCCCCCCCATCCCACTTTTTCGAGGCCCGGGCACCGAGAGACTTCGGGGACTGGCGGCTCCTACCCTCCCCCCCCCTCCGCCAGGAGCCGGAGCCGCAGCACCCCACCGCGGTCACCCCAGCCCCAGCCCTGCCCTCTGGGGACGAGAGGGAGGACACGCGCCCCCGATGCTGCTCCGTGCTCCAGAGCGGCCAGGGGTGCCCACTCCTCACAGGCCTTGCGGAGAGGAGGACTCACAGTCAGCATGGGGTGACCATAGGGTGCCGGGTGCACACAGCAGATGCTCAGTGTGTGCGGTGGACCCAGAAGGGGTCCTCGGACTCCGCAAGCGCACCAGCCCTTTCTCTTGGCGCCTCCATCCTCATCTCCATAATAGATCAATCTGGAGCATCTGCCAGGTTCCACACCCAGGGCTCAAGTCTCACTGCCCGCAGCCCATCAAATTGGCCTGACTGTGCGCCCTCCACGCAGGCCGAGACTGCAGCGTGGATAGACTCTGCCTTGTGCCAGGACCGCTGACAATCAGGACTTGAACCCTGGTTACTTTGACTCTCCAAACTGTCAACTGCTGACTCAACCATCTCCCTGCCTAGACTGACCTCACACACCCAAGATCCTTGGGATTCTGCCTGTTTGAGCATCTCCCCACCAAAAAACAATCTGGAACAATATAGAACAATCTTCAAGAACTGTGGGGTCGGGTAGGGAGGGGCTCCGGCCAAATTTGGGAGAATGGTGATTGAGCTAATGGCTGTAAAGTGCAGAAGAGTGCTTTGAAGATGTGGCTGGCAGCCACGGCTAATGAAAGGGCCTGATGAACATTACCTGGGGACATTTAGTGCTGTCTGTGTCCATACATACCCCCTTGCCCAACTCACTCCTTTCCTGATCTTAGGAGCAGAGAGAGGGCTTCACCCTGAACCCACAAACCTCTCCCAAATGAGAAGGCCATGGAGACACTAGGCAGCCTGAGAAGTCTCCCACCTCTACCAGTGACATTCTCTAACTCAAGTCCCAGTCAGAGAACAAAACAAGGTTGAGGAGAGAGGCAGGACATGGGGGGAGATGCAGGACATCTGTCCCCTGAGACAGGTGGGGCCACCCATCTGTCCAAATCATTGAGGGACATCCCTTTGTCTTAAAGGTTTTCCAGAAGCCCTGAGAGAGCTGGGAAAGGAACATTTTACAGTTAGGGGTTTTGACTTATTTTGTTTGTAGGGATGGGAGTTGAACCCAGGACCTTATGTATACTAGTCAAGCTTGCTACCACTAAGCCCTAGAATCTAGGGGACATACTCAGCTCCTAGATTAGTTTTAGAGTAAGAAACAGGGACAAACTGGGTGTTGGTGGTTCACACCTGTAATCCTAGCTATTCAGGAGGCTGAGATCTAAGAATCACAGTTCAAAACTAGCCTGAGGATGAAAGTCCATGGGACTCTGATTAACCTAGAAGTGGAGCTGTGTGTGGCTCAAGTGGTAGAGCATTAGCCTTGCAAAGAAAAATAAATGCCCACGGACAGAGCCCAGGTCCTGAGTTCAAGCTTCAGGTCTAGTGCGCGCGCACACACACACACACACACACACACACACGACACAGTTGCAAAATGCCTGGTACAAATTCACAGTAACACAAGAGCAACAGAACAATTCTCTTCTAACGCCTACCCTAGGACTCCTTCCCTGTCCCCCTTCCCAAGTTTCTATCTAGTCCCCTTGGAAAGGGTGAGGTGGAAGGGGCCTCCAGGAAGGGGTTGCAGGAACTTACCACCCTGCCCTCTGTACCCTCACAGCTAACTCTGCAGCTCCATCTGTTTCCTCAGGCACATACCTTGTCCTAGGGTGAGCCTCAGCTGGGCCTTTGGCCTGCCTGGGGTAGGAGCCGGGAGCCAAAGCACCTTCCCTGTCCTTTTTCTATCTTTCTCTTTCTCTCTTGGCAGCTGATGCCGCCCCACCCTGCCTGTCTGCCTGCCTTCCCCGCCCTACCAGCTGCAGCTTGGCCCCTAGGGACCCCCTGCCCCTCCCTCAACCAGGGGCCTGCAGGAACAACTGGAGTCTCCTCAGATCTCCATCACAGGAGCAGCAGAAAGGAGAGAAGTCAGTTAGAGGTCACAGATCCACTTTTGTCGCTGCTGAGGAGAAAAGGGAGAAGAGAGGGTCTTAAAGGGGGTCTGGCCTCTAGTCCAGCACTGGAGAAAGGGAAACCTTAGCGCCACCTGCTGGTCTTTTTGGGAAAATACCCTAGGCAGATGTAGGGCATTGGGAGGGGGAGTCGGCAGCTCTGAGGGTTTGAGGCAGAGAGGAAAGGGGACTGGAGGAAAGGTTGTGGAGGACAGGGAGGATTGCGGGCATTGTAGCTGTGAGGTGCAGCCTTCCACGGCCTCATGCAGAGCTCAGGCACTACCTCAGTTTGGGGAGAAATCCTGGTAGCTGGAACCTGGCAGCCAGTGGGAGCTGGTTTGGGGACAGGAAGAGCTAGGAGGACCCAGAGGCAATTTCGGTGAGCCTGGGCCCGTGGTGGGGTGGCAGGGGCTGGCTGTCAGCAGTACCAGTTACTTTATCCATCCACCTGAACTCCATCCCTTTGCCAGGACCAAACATACAGTAGGTTAAGTGCCACCTGTGTGGAATAAATTATTCTTCTGACATGTATCTAGGGAGAACCTATTTGGTAACAGACTCTGAGCAATATTGTGGGAAAATAAGGAACATAAAAGCAGGGATGTGGATGGAGCCAAAGGGTGGGTTTCTGTGCTCCCAAGATATACTTGCTAGTCACCTCTTAGAGGATGACACAGACAATCTCCCGAGGGGCTGGATGGTCACTTACACTGGCACCTAGGAATATTTGGATCCTTTTACGTGTCAGGAACTATGCAGAATCTCAGCACCTAGCTCTGACTGCAGGTGCCCAAGTCAGATTCCAAGTAACCATGACAACAGGAAGGTTCCTTATCCTAGAGCCTGGAATGACCATGGCTTATGTCTAGGGTGCCTCGTAGATACCCCTCAAAGTCAAAGGAAGAATCAGGATGTCAGGAGATTGCTTCAGCTCT